TTATTTATTTTCTATCACTTGAGCCAATATGAATTGACAATTTTATGTGAATTAAAGGAGGTTTAGTGCTTTCTAATGAGCCAATTAATGTCATATAAAATAAAACATTCGACAGAAGACAACATTGGATAGTGAAACATCGAGAGATTTTATTTTGTAATTTAATCAGACAACATATCATGATCGTGAAATAGAGTAATCTGACAAAGTCCTTCGTGGAACAAAAGGATATATTACTTTTGCATGTTTCACCTAGGAAATACTTGTTTAAACTAAAGACATTTTAAATTTTGGTGACATGAACAAAATATCATATCCATGTTTTGATATTGGCAAGAAAGGTCTGGTTGTGACTCTCATGCTGCGATATTTGAGGGGTTGACTAGAATGATAGTTGATAATTCTATGTTCCTTTGAACCGGAATAAGAAGTGAGAGGCTTCTTTGTCAATACCTTTGATGTTTTTCCAACATTTATGGGACTATAAATTGCCTGTTGAATGTCTTTAAGCATTTCTGTGTCCTCAGAATCAAATCTGTTGCTCGAATGGTAGAACATCCCAAATACTTTCAGGCATGATAGATGAAGATGCTTGCATTGTTTTGGCAGATCACTAAAGCCATCGATTAAGGCATGCTGGAGTAACTCTTTTTTCTTCCTCTCTAGAATTCCTTTCACATAGGCAATTGAGTCTTTAATATCTGCCTCGGGATTTTCTTTCAAATATAGCAGCACAATGTTCAATTTTCCTTGCTCTTCTTCCCTCTGTTAATTTGCATATAATACTATTATATTAAAGAGAAAAGAAAATTGGAAAGAGAACAATCTACAACGAATGCCCATTTTCTTTTACCTGGTAGCCTTGACTGTCATTCAACAAGCGAGTTGTGAGCATGAGCAATTTGGTGAGAGTCTCATACTTGTTTGGATGGAGTTTGTGATTCGATAAGCTTGGAGTCAATAAACAAGAAGTTGGAAGAACCATTGTGTGGGCACCAACAGATGTCATGCCAGTTGTGAGGTATTCTTCCATTGATGGCACGTAATGATTTCTACTCCATTTAGCTTCCACCAGCCATGAATTGAATGTTTCATGCCACTACATATCCCGATAACAAAAGAAGAGTACTATTTCTTACACATTCGTTCAAAAGACAAGAAACTTAAAGCAAGTTAAGGATTTATAGACTTACTATATGTTGTAGATGGTTCGTTATATCTGATCCTTGACTAAGGAGCTGTTTTGCTGCAATTTCTTTTACAAGATCATCCAGTACATCAAAGATAGTTTTGCAGTGCCCATACAAGTTCTTGCCATCCCATCTGTCCATACATAATGTTTTAAGAAATCTGATAGGCTTTCATGACAGTCCCAACCTCTTGGCAACGACCTTAATTAGTTGTGGGAAAATTTTTGAATAGCCAATTAGTTGTTAGGAATTACCTTTGAATTGCAGAAATAAGGGTGTTGAGGTCATGTAGGGAACCGTGAGAATCAAAAAAATCGTCAGCAATTGTAATGAGAATTGCACTCTTTGCGACCATCATTCTAACAACAGAGTCATAAGGCAGAGAATTGCTAGCTGCTATGGCAAAGTAACAATATATTGTTTTTTCTCTGGCAAATCCCAAATCCACAAGACCCCATTTTTTAAACCACCTTGTCAGTTCCTCCAGTTCTATTCTATAAATTGATTGCCGAAACTCATAATCTGCAGTTGCAAGTTTCTTTAGCTTCTCGTTTTGAAAGCTTGACAACCTAGTTCCAGAAATTTAATTTGTTGGTTAATTTGATAATTGAAATGTTTTGTGCAATACAAAATTGATCATTAGATGAGGGATCCCCTAAATGTAAGGTTGAACCTTTTTCTTCTAATAGTCATGATTTTGCAATTTGGTACTATTTAAATTGCAATAACACTAACTAATTTGATAACAGTAATTAAATGTTGGACTGATTAAAAAGTTTATTACCTGTGGAAAGAGGTCTTTCCAACCCACAATGCATTCATATCTTTGTCTTCAATCCATATTCTGTGTTCCAAGTGATCCAGTCGAGTAATCCATGGAACACTCAGCTCGTGCTCAATCTACGCAACATATTTAATTTGCAAGTTCAAAATATTATGCCTTCTATAAAATCATTAATTTTTTTTTTTTTTAAATTTTTGGAGAAAGTAAAGGTAATTAACTAGTTCAAATATAATTAGTACCATCCTTTTAAGGGAGGACCAGTCTCCATTTCTTATAGATATAGATTTCTCAAGTAATTTCCTTGAAAATGATCTTGCCTCTTCAAGTTCATATTCTCCTGGAAGCATAAGATCTGTGGCTCTATGAACATTCAGCATCACGCTTGAGAAGAATTCGTAGTTCTTTTCTAGATGATCTTGAAATTTTTTTTCATTTAAAAACCAACAGAAACTCCCTGCACATTTACAAATTAATTAAGTAAATTATTTAAAGTACATGTATACTATAATTAGTAGATGTATGTATATATGCATTCTTGCATATGTATTCTAGGAATCATACATGGAGATATTGTGTAACCATGCATGCGGAGAAGCCGAAATGCTAAAGAATCCTTATGTAGCTGAGTTGCACTTGCGGTTCTTGATCCTCGACCGGATTCTTGATTTTGGTAATTCCTAGAATTCAAATGTTTTCGTTGCAACAAAAGGTTATTATTGTGTATATTTTATATATAATTTTTGTGTATGCAATTTCTTTCCCATACCTGTGAATATGGGTCAAAATATGGTCTATTTCTTGAGCAAAATGGTCGGCTAACCCTAATCTTTGAAGTTGATGCACCAAACAAAGTTGTATTAAGTCTTCATTCATAGGATATGTTGGTGGAACTGCACACAAGTTAATTAATTAACACTTAATTTTCAGTAGAAATGAAAATTTAAATTTAAAAACTGTATGGATTAATTATTTTTGAACAGAGGAAAATCTAGTGGATGGGGAAAAACAAAGAGAAAATAAGAAAAGAAAAAAGTTCAAGAGGTCAATTTATTTTAAATGGAATTCAAACTTTTTTAAAGATTGTCCTCTATTAGATTGTCTTCAAAATGAAGTATAATTTGACTCTATGTTCAGGTCCCAGAAGATATGCATGGATTAATTTCTATAGAAAATTTTGTTGACCTCCATTAGGGCATCTTTGAACGAGAGATTGCAGATAAGCTAAGCACTCTCTCTTTCCTGTAGCCATAAATGCTCGAGCTGTGGCTGCAGGGGACTGGAATAACGAGCCATCCAAGTTTAAGTCCTTGGTTATGCTTTCTTCAATGAGTTTATCATCAGTCGGTGTTAGGACTTCAAGATACGATAGCAATGGAGGAAATTGTTCTCCAACCAGTTCCTCCCTGCATTAACAAATATTATAAGAGCTATTTATGAATGATTTGAAAAATATCTACCATAAGAAGTGTAACATAAATATGTTTTCTACAATCTACTCTACACTCAAGGTATTTTTCTCCTTTTTAATCTCCAACTAATGTTTTAAGTGGACAAAACACTAAATAGCAATATTCTCTAAATTTCAATTATATAAGTTGACAATCTAAAAAGAAGTATGTATTAAATATCGATCATACCTTTCAAGAATACTTTGCCTTTCACCAAAAATGTTCATTGATAGTCCTAGCTGCATAGGAAGGGCAATCTGTAGACCGACTTCATGTGCGAGATCAATCATTCCAGGGAAAACAATGGCAAACCACCGAGGAAAATGATCACCAAGAAGCTTCTCAGTATTTTCATTCACAAATGCCAACCCTATAACAATAATGTAAAGCTGTAAGATATTAAGATAAATGAAATTCAGATACATATAAGCTTTAATTTAGGTATGTATATCCAATATTGAAATTTTAAAGCCCATCTTTAGTTAAACTATTAGAGAACACCCTTTATATGCCCAATTAAAAAAAACAACCATGATCAAGTGTTTCTTAATAACTAAACTAAATAGAAACTTAATTCATATATATATACACACATAAATTAGTTTTGGAATAATGATTTTGTCACCTCTTTGTACTTCTCTTGTCCCAACATTCCACTTCTTGAGTGCAACTACGCAGGCAAGAGTAGCAGGAAGAGACTCGATGGTCGGCCTGCCATGACCATCACACTCTCCCCAAAACCCATCTTCTCTCTGGTTATTCAGCACCCAATCCAAGCACCCCTTGAACATTGATCGACCAGTTGGATCCCGAGGATCTGGAATCATGGCTAGCCATGCAGTGTCATACGCGGAAGGGGAAACAAATGTGTAAGGATCGATGTCTGAGAACATCTCTTCCTTGATCTCCCTAACTAAACCTTGGATAGAAGAACGTGAAAGTTCCATGACGAAACCTTACAGAAAAGAAATTTTTAGAAAGAATTAAGTTAATGCTTCTCTTATTAATGCATGTTATGATGAAGGACAATTATACATACACTCAAACAATAAACACTTATTTCAACACCCAAGGTTTATAAACAGTAAAATTACAAATTTACCTCTCCTCATTTTAGCCTTGGGTGTTGAGATGGGTGTTGATTGTTTGGGTGTATGTATAATTATCCTATGGTGAATGAGATATTTATAATGCAACCTTACTACCTTATTTTGTCTCAGACTCGAGGAAAGGGCAAAAATGTGAAACATGTTGGTGCATTTTATTTTATTATTATTTATGGTTTTTTTTTTTAACAAGGCAAATTTTGGAGATAGGAATAATATTATAATTGTTTCTATTAGAATTTAAATCTTGACATAAGTCGATTTTTGGATGGTGTTATAAGAACAATATTTTTATACTATATTTTTATATGATTTTCACATATCATTAAATGAGTGGATACATTTAATATCATGAATTTCACATAAATTAAAAAAACCAATAATTTTAATGATATGTTAGATTGTATAAAAAAATAAGACAAAAAAATTATACAAAAATCATTTCCCTTTTATTACACATCAATTTCTCTAAAACTGCAAATGATTTTGATTAATAACTAAGTTGAACTTGTCAATATTTCTTTGTCATATGTAAAGTATAAATCCATAAAAATCCAACATTAATTGAAGGGAAAAAAAATTGATTGCACGGAGGATTGACAAATCCGTTTGAAAGGAAGACTCACGGTGTGGTTCTTTCGGTTTTTTCTTTCTTTCTTTCTTTCTTTTTTTGTTTTATCCAATTTTATAGGTTTATAACCAGCTAATTAAAGTAGTTAAAAATATTAATTTCACAAACAATTTATAAATTAACTTTAAATTATTAAATTATAAATGTTAATTATTTTATTAATTATTAAATAATTATTGTTTTTTTTTATCAAGTTTACAAAGGTGGAAATCGAACCCACCTTGAAGGAGAGAGAAATGCACTGCAAGGCAGCCCTAAAGCCGCTTGGCCTGAAGGACCAAATGCAAATAATTATTGTTTTTAACAATTAAATCAAATAAAATAAATATTAAGAACTTGATAAGTACAGATTGAAAGTATCTTTTACAAATAAAAACAAGATCAACTGCGACAATAATGTTGTCTCTGTTTACAATGAAGTGGTTGTCTGACTTATCTAAGTCAGCCGAAAGATCAACAGGAACGGTAAATTTACATTTTCGGCAGACTAGATTCCGGCGGCTCTTGATTTGGGTTCCATCAGCATCAATGCTCTCCAGTCTTCAAGGTCATATAAATGTATGTAGTGTAAACACGACAGTGCAAGTTGGGAAATTCATGTTCTGTGAACATGCGTGAATTAATTGAGTTAAGGAGAGAAAAATCCAAAGACGAGTTCCTAACAAATTGTATTCCTAATTCTCTTCGCTCCACAATATGCATTTTTTTTTTCTTTTCCTCATAGACATAGATTAAACATGATAATTATAAAAGAATATATTGTTGATTGGGGATCCTTAAATTTGAATTTTGATGAGAGATTTGAAATATAAAAAATACATCTTAAAATGTACAAAACAATCAAATTAGACAGTGTAGTGGGGTGGAGGGGTTGTATCTTCATTAATATATATTAGAATTTTTTAATATGTATCATTAAAATATAAATTAATGGTGTATTTATTATATTTTTTATAATTAATTTATATGAAAAAATTAAAAGTTAACTTTAATTTTATTTATTATTTAATTAAAATATTTCACATACTACTAGTGTTAAAAATAAAATTTATTTTTATAGTTTTCTATACAA